AAAAAATTAACACTTGAATGGAAAAGATTAAAATTTCCTTTATTATTATTGATAATTAATATGTTTATAAAGTGTGTTTCTATTTTTATAAAAAAAAATTAAATAAAAAAATTAATAATTATAATATAAGAATTGAACTTATAACAAATAAATTTATATATAATTTTTTCACTTTATCTATAATCTTTTATTAAAATATTTTTATACATAATTCTAAAAAAAATTATTTACCTTTGAAAACATTTATAATGAACCAAATAAATAAAAGGAGCTTTTTTTATAAAAAAATTAGTTTGATGAGCATGAGCATGCTAACTGACACAACCACTAGTCTTTGTTTTTACCAAAAGTTATTGGACAACCACAGTTCTTGTAAACCGAAATCTCATGTACAAATAATGGGTTTCTTCGTTAGACTATTTATTTTGTTAAAAACAGCCTTCAGAAATAATTTCTTTTTAAAAAAATTATTTAAATAATTTATGATTACCGCTTTATAAATTAATTTAAGGGTAAAGTATATAAATAGTTCTCAAAATTTTAGGGTATTTGCATTTTGATCATTAACTTTTAAAATTTTCAATATAATCACTAAATTTTTAGTTCATTTTCAATAAGGTCCCTCTTGTACCTCTGTTAGTTTTATGTGGTGTGGCACCATTAACCCTCTTCTCTCATTAGCCCTTCTTCTTCTTCTTCATTTATCTCTAAACTAAAACCTCAAAAGAAAAGAAAAAAATCATTTTATGTGAATTTCTCACTTGCAAATAGAAACTACCTCTTTCCATATAGTAATGTCCCGCAGAACAACCAACTTTGTCTGCATAAAACACAAAGTTCATGAAAAAAAATTGATACCAAAGAAATTAACAAAAAGTAAAATAAAAACTAGTTATTCTGCGTGGCATTGTCATATTGAAAAAGGTGGTTTTATTTGTAGGTGAAAAATTCACATAAAAAGAACATTTTTTCTTTTGGGGGTTTTAGTTTAGAAGAGAGGAGGAAGAGGAAAAGAAGAAGAAGAAGGGTTAACGAGAGGAGAAGAAGTGTTAACAATGCCACATCATATAAAAATAATGAAAATAACAACAAAGATCTTACTAAAAAAGAACTAAAAGTTTAGTAATTATATTGCAAGTTTTAAAAGTTAGATGACCAAGATACAAATATTCTAAAAGTTTAAAGACTATTTATATACTTTACCCTTAATTTAATTAATCATCAGAATCCGTGAGAGTCGTTCAAAAGCGATCCTTCTTTTCCTGCTATAAAGCTTGTATGCACCGATTTTAAAGCTACTTTCCCAGCAACCAAACCTCTTAATATAATTAAATTGATAGTAAATATTTTTTTAAAATATAAAAAGAGTAAATTATTCATATAAAATATTTATTTTTTAAAGCTACAGTAAAATATCTATAAATTAATAACATGGGATGATATAATTTTGTTAATTTAAAGAGGTATTAATTAATTGATAATTTAATAATTTAAATAGATTTTGTTATCCAGCGAACTTACATTATTCTTCATGAATAAAATATATATATTGTATTGACTAATTGAATTATGTTCATATACAATATGACTGATTAAATATAATACATATTCCTAAAAGATAAAGTTCATTGTAATACATAGTACTAGTTAAAATTTAATGCAAATTTAGTATAAGAACGCATCAACGAAACTTTTAAATGCAGTAAGGAAAGTTATAGATAAAATACAACTAGATTTAAATTTTAAGAAAAAAACAAACAACAAGAAAACATATTTTTCTGAGTTGTCCTATTTATATTTGTAATTTTATAGAATTATTAATTTATAAAATTAAAAGGACCATAAATTTATATAAAGGGTCTTTCATAAAATTATTATATTATTAATTTATCAAAATTATTAATTTAGATATTAGATCCAAATTGGGAATGAGAAAAGGTAATCATCTAAAAATAAAAAATAGATTATGGAAGAGAAAAATTAAAAATCTAATTAAACAATGAACAATTGGTAGATACAAATAAACATCATTGTCTACAATTAAAGATTTTTCGAGTACCTTTTCTTTTATAGCCAAAATCATGTATGTAATTAACCATAAATCTACTTGATTCAAAACTCTGTCGAAATTCCATTGTAGGTACCTGAATAAGTACACAAAATAGAAATCAACTCTAAATTTTTCTCTATTTTTTACGTTATTGCATGCAAACTATAAAATCATGTGGATTAGAATTACTATATTCAATAGTGAACTATCTTTGGTGACTTTGAGGAGGTATGAAATCAATCCTATCATAAGGAAGGAAAAACATGTTAAAAGAATAAACAAATAACGTATTATGAGAGAAATGAAACTACCCACTGTTTTAATATGAAAAAAAATAATATAATTTAAACTATAAAAAAGAGAAGACGAGTTATATTAAATCTTACTATCATCTCTAATTAATAATTATATTAGACCATTTATATTTATAAAAAAAACATATAATTGGAATATCATTTAGTATAAAAAAGTAAATTTAAAGGCAATAATAAAGAATTATTACTGTACTTATAAGCATCCCCGTTTTGTTGACAATATCTCACCGAAACGATAGGCTTACCAAAAGAAAGCGGCGGCGTTTCTTGGTCAAATATTTACTTTTTCTTTTCCTTCCCTTCGAACGGTAGTTAACCTCTTGGAGTCTTGGTTATTAACCATGAAAAGTTATATATATATATATATATATATATATATATATTATGATTATTTTTAGCGTGTATTTTTTTAGTTTTACATTAATTTAATATTGTTATATGAGTAAAAATTAAATATCGAGATTAATTAATTATTTTTCAATAAATATCTTATAATTTATTATTGTTAATCTTAATAGTATATTTTTATTCATCAAACAATCTTAAATCAATATAAAACTCAAAAATATCTTAATAATAATAATAATAATAAAAATAATGGAGCTTTTTGCCAATTTAAGGTGTTAGGTGAAAGCATTGATAAAAGGTAGGAAGCTGCACGAAGAACCCGTGCCCCCAAATTCATTTTCGCACCCGAAGAAAAGTTAATATATATCAATATAAAAATTTAATTTTAAACAAATATTTATAATTTTTTAATTAATTTAATTCAGAAGTTAAATTCAATCTTTCAAGAAAAAGTTAAATTCAAGAATCAAAATATATATATATTAACTGAAATTTAAAGGGATTAATAACAAGTTAATTGAAAATTAATTAAATGTTAGGTTTATTTTATGTTATGAAGAAAACATTTTTTTTAATATTTATGAAGAAAATTAATTTAAAGGGATGCTTACACTAGGGCATTGTTTTTCTTATTAAAATCCAGATTTTGTTGCTACAAATCATAATGGGCAGCTCCAACCCTTGGGCCTTGGGGTCCAAAACTTTTGTTTTCTTCTTTTATGCTATTTTAATTTGAATTTGCAAAGATATGTCATATTTTGATTGGTCCCAGGATCTAATATCATACTCCCTCCGTGCCATTATTTGTATCTCATATTGGCTATGCACATAATTTTAAGAAATATATTTAATTAAAGAAAATGACAAAATTATCCCTAAAACGTAATTGCTAAATTTATTTTGGTACGTGTAAAAGAGTGAGACATACAAAGGTAAAAAAAAAAATATAAATGTTATTGTTTGTTGATTTTTCTACTAAAACATTTTAAATTGAACAATTTAAAAAAAAAACACACATTTAGTGGGATAGATGGAGCATCACTTTCCTATTATAATAACTATTTAGCAATAACTTGTTGCTTTATAACATGATGTAGTTATCAAATTATTATTTTGATTCAATGGGTTTGTTTGAATTGATAGTATCATAAAAAATTAAATTGATAAAAAATTTATTTATGAATGGTTAAATCTATTGAATTGTTACATGTTTAATCCAATTGCACATGGGTAGTTAAACTCCTTATTGAAGCCAAAACATAACCGACTTATATTTCTCTTATTTGTGCCATCCAACATTTTCGTGAACGAAGCTGTGCTATCAACATCACCTAGATAGCCCGTGAATGCAACATGGTTGTTGATTGTATAATCAAGCTTCCATGTCCTATTACGCTTCAAATCTTGTCTATTAACTCACCATCCCCAGACATCTAAGAACTACTAACTCGAGACATTAATGGTTCCTCTTTGTAAATGTGTTCTTGCTTAACCCTATGACTTAGGCTTCTCTTTATTAAAAAAATCTATTAAATTTTTAAATATAAGATTAATAGAATGTATAAACTTTTTTGACTAAAAATATTTTTATATCATATTAGATGTTTATTTCAACTTTAAGAATAAAATAATTTATTTGTAATATTATTTTAAGAATGGAATAATTTATTTGGAATATTATTGGAATAGGATCTAATTACATAACATGCAACTTTGTACTTTTACACATATTTAAGATGGTTGTATGAGTGAAAATAAATGTATGAGATTAATAGTAGGAGATGAAAAATATTCACTAGAGGAAAAAAAAGTTAATCCTAGCCTTTTATTTTCACTTTTTTTGGATAAGTTAAAATTTATTATCCAAATAGAAGAGTTCGGCAACAAAATGCACCCATACAAGGAGCAAAGACAAGCTACTTACAACAAACAATGGTTAGCCTATACCCTAATTGTTACAAAGAAAAATATTAACATTGTCAAGTCTGTTAAAATTTCTACCTCTAAGTTGAATGTCAACTATCTCCTTAATGGAGTTTGACATCACTTCAACCGTTCGAGACCTTCCTTGGAATAGTCTTCTAGTTCTTTCCTCCCAAACAATATAAATGAAAGCACCCCAAGCAATCTTCATAATGGTATAAGGAGGATTTACCTTTCCAAGTTCCACAAGCCCAAGCAAGCATATTATCCCATGACATAGAAGGCTTGAACAAGCAAGAGAGGTTCAATAAAGCTTTCCATAGGGAAACAACCGTTGCACGGTCAGCAAACAAGTGGTTTCTCAATTAGAGGGCCTCATTGCATAAAATACATGAACCATCATAAGCAATTCCTATTCGAGTAAGCCTCTCTCTAGATGGGAGTCTATCCAAGATTGTCATCCAAGAAATAATGATGAATTTAGGAATGTGGAGGGGAAACCAAATCAATTTATGCAATGAAACTTTGTCTCGTTTGACCCCAATCTTTTCCCAGATATCTTTAGTATTCGTTGCTCCTGCATTTAAAATAGGAAGAGCCTCTGTTTTTAGTTTCAAAAGTCTGTTGAAGCACCAACTAAAAGAAGCACCTCCAGTCATGACTCTAAAGTCTTTAGTCTTTATCACATAGCTATAAATCCAAGCAATCCATAAGGAGCCTTCACCAGCAAGAAGATTTTTAATGAGCTTCATCATGTAAGCTTTGTTCCAGGATTTTAAATCCTTTAGTCCGAGCCCTCCTTCAATTTTAGGACAACATATTTTATCCCAGCTGACTCTAGCACAAGTAGTAGATGTATCGAAACCTTTCCATAAGAAACGAGAGCACAACTGGTTTATCCTGTTTATAACAGTCTGAGGCAGAAGAAACTGCCTGCACCAAAAGTTGGCTATACTGAGCAGGACAGTTTTGATTAGTTCCAGCCTTCCAGCATAGCCTAAGTGTTTCCCAGACCATTGATGAAGTCTTGATTTGATCTTGTCAATAAGGGTTGAGCAATCATTTTCAGTGAGTTTTCGGGTGACTAAGGGAACCCCAAGGTACCTCACTGGTAAGTAACCATAATTGAACCCAGTAGAATTTTTAATATTCTCAAGGTTCCTTAGAGAAATTCCAACAGCAAACAGTTCATTTTTGGCAACATTTAACTTAAGCCCAGACATGTCATAGAAATGGTTCAGGACAATTATGACCCCAGTAACAGATTCAAGATTTCCTTTACAGAATATAAGAAGATCATCCGCAAAAGAGAGATGAGTGAAACCAATTTTTTTACATTTGGATGGTATCCGAAAATACCTTTGGCAGCAGCAGTGTTAAGTAATCTTGAAAGGATGTTCATAGCAAGAACAAATAAAATGGGTGATAAAGGATCACCTTGTCTTATTCCCCTTTCTCCCTTGAAAAAACCAATCAAGGATCCATTGAAAGAAATAGAATATCTAGCTTCAGTAAAGCAAGCTTCAATTCAACCAATGAACTTTGATGGTAACCCTAAGGCCTTAAGACTTGTAGAAATAAAACCCCAGTAGAGGGAATCAAAATCTTTTTGAAGGTCAATTTTAGGAGCACATCTTGGAGAAATAGACTTCCTTCCATAACCTTTCACCAGTTCTTAAGCGAGGAGAGTATTATCAATAATGGTTATACCTTTAACAAAGGTTGTTTGGTTAAGAGTTATAATTTCTGGAAGCATATTAGTCAGCCTTTTGACAAGAATCTTGGTAATAGACTTATAAATCACTGAGCAGCAGGAAATAGACATGTAGTCTTTAACCTTGCTAGGATTAGAGATCTTTGGAACCAAGGCTATAATTGTGGGATTGAAAGCATGCAGAATGAATGACTTTTGGAAAAAGAATTTGATCGCATTAATCAAATCCTCACCAACCACTGACTAAGCCTTTTTAAAAAAACTATTAAGTGGAATTTTAACCCTTATATCTTCATAACTAAATGATCTTTAGTGTCATTTACCCTTTAAGATAATTAGAATATGATAACTTGAAAACACACATTAAACTAGGGGTGCTTATTGAGCGAGTCGATTGCGAGTTAAGTTGTGTTCAACTCGTGCTTGTTAAAAAATTTTGTGACTCGACTCGTTGCTCGTTAAGCTCGTTAAAATTTTGCTCGACTCGTTAAGTTCGATGCTCGTTGCTCGTTAAGCTCGATGCTCGTTGTTCGCCTTGTTACTCGTTAAGCTCGATGCTCGTTGCTTGTCTCGTTGCTCGTTAAGCTCACTGAAATTTTTACCCTATTTTATTAACTATAGGTAACATCTACTAATACACTATACAAAGCTTAATATAAACATAAATTAATCCAAAACAATATCAAAAGAGTGTACACAGCATTTTCAAAGTCTAAATTCCAAAGTAACAATCCACAAATACATTAAAATAATAAATATGGTTTGATTTTTGAGTGTAGTAAAATATTAATTAATAATTTAGTATATTTTGTTGTTTATTAGAAAATTAATAGATTAGCAATTTATCATCTTTTTATTATCTATTAGTAAATTAGTAATTTTTTGAATGAAATAATTTTTTAAGATAACTACTAAAAAAATTAACGAGTCGCTTGTAAACTTATCGAGTCGAGTTGAACTTTGCTCGACTCAACTCATTAAAATAACATTTTTTTTAGAGAAATATTAGCTGCACGTGTAATAATTTCTTTTAATAATTCATACCTGGGTAAAGGTTCTTCTATGATTTCTTTCTTTAATTTTGAGAGTAACTCCAAGAGTTGAGCTAAATTTTAGCCAACATGTTGTCTAACCGGTTGGGAGACATTCAAAAAATGAAAGGGAAAAGATTCTTCCCAAGCCACAATGAAATCCAGGAAGAAAGCAATTGTTTCCCATATATATAATTTTAAACAAAATTTGAGATTAAGTTTATACAATATTATCATAAAAAAAACAGGCTGTCTGATCTGGTTTTAGAAATCAAAACTAGTAATGGGTGGTTCCAATTTCATATGCCCAGAAATCTTTGGGGTCATCTCAAAGGAAACAGATAAATTCAAATAGCCCAGAAGGCTGTGGGTCTGGTCTGGACTTACCAATTTTAGTGTACTATTTATGGATTTGGTTTTGTACCAAAACGGAAACACCAAAATCAATTTACTCCTCTAAAACCTTTTTTTAATGCAAATAAAGTGAATAAATTTATTAAAAATAAAAAAATATTCCAAATTATATTGAAGTTTAAAAACTAAACACATAACTAGAATTTTTTTTATAATTATTTACACAACAAACTAGTCACTCGAGGTCATTCGAGAATCATACAAGAAATAAGTTAAAATTCATCCAAGGAACTCAAAGAAATGATAGATACAAATAAATCTGACTGCATCAATAAATAAACCATAACATTAAATTAAGCTACTGAAAGATCACCGACGACTATAAATCAGAATCAAGCATCGTGAGAAAACTATATACGAACACAAATTATGTATCTAAGTACAATATGATGGTCCAAAGAAAAGAAGATCAACGGAATAACAAATAAATGTTATCTTGATCAATCAATACGACGTTAAATCTAATCTTGAAAATACAATAAAACGACATAAAACATATCTTTATCTTTTTTTAAGACAAAAAAACAGAAAAAAAATATGTATCATGAAAATAAAATTATTAAAAAATAAAAAAAATATAAAGAAAATTAAATTTTATAAATAAAAAGTAAATAGAAAGTAAAAAAATACATACCATCGATGATGACTAATATCAAAATTGATTTCGCGGCTTGTCAAACCAAAATAATAAAGAATGGAACGGCAGCTAATATGGTGGAAGGAAAAAAAACGCTAGGTTTTTGTTACTCGTCTAAAACATAAAATCGGTGAGAAATTGAAAATTAAATATTTTGATTTATTACTAAAGTGGAACTCACCAAACAAATCTATTTTACCAAAATCAAGTAAAATAAAATGTTAAAACTAAAAATTAAAAAACTAAATTGGTCTGAACCAAATTAAAGTAGATTATTAAAAAAAAAAATTAGGCCTGAACGAACCGAATCAACTCCACCGGTTTTTTTTTCTCGTTTTCACTCTAATATCTGGATAAATAAATAAATAAATTCTTTCAATCGCATATTATCTTTCCACTGTTTTCTTTCTTTCACCGACAGAGGCGGTACAATCGCTTTCACCGGCAATGGCGGCGATATCGTCATTCTTTCACCGGCAGTAGCAACGACGGTAAGGTACTTTATCATTCATATTTCTCTATTTTCCCCCATGACTTCAACATTCTGTGCCTCCATTGTTTTATTTTCAAAACCTTTATCCTAAAGCAATTCAATTTTTCAAACCCATAAAAAATCAGGGTTTTACTTTAATTCCTTCCTTCGAATTCACAAAATTCCTAATTTTACAATCCACAATCTCCATCAAACTTCAAAACCCCACCTTTTAAGCCATACCCATTTCACATATTCGTCTATAATTCTGAATTTATCATATTCTTTATGATATATAAACTTGTCATAAGTCTAGGAAAATTACTAAGTTGAAGATTAGTGAAAACAATTAATTTTTCCTTATTGGATTTAGATTATAAGAAGTTTCTATTTTTTATATTAACAAATAAAATGAGATTGTTCTGTCAGAAACAAACTATTATTATATTATTCTTCAAATAAAAGGGAAATTTTTTAATTAATATGTACGATAAATTTGAGAAATTAATTTCTTTGTGATGTTGATCTAGTTCTGATTGGTGATACAGTAGGCTAGATGGTGAAGATATTCAACCACTTGTCTATGATAATGAAACTAGTATAGTCAAGATTTAGGTTTATTTTGATCATTCTTCTAAGTGATTCTAAGGTTTTGTCTTTAAATTTATCAAATTTTTTTTATCTTAAAGATTCATTTTGAGTTAAACTTCTCAAAATTGAATCGACACTATAGTTTATTTTTATATTTTTAAGGAAAATTTTAAGGGACTTTAATTTGGTTTCTATTTCTCGTCATTGTCTTGTTCTATGCGTGCTTTTTTGATCTCATGATTATAAAATTTTCTTGATCCAATGCCTATAACTTGTAGTTAGAGTGCTAATTATCTATTTATTTTCATTTGCTAATTGTTCTCTATAACTCTTTATGTCGATATTGTTCAAGATTATAGAAACACTACCTTAATCCTAAGCAGCATGAAAATCAAGGTGATGACTCCACATGAAAGGACATATATTGTATGTATCAATGGTTGCATTTATCATTTCTAAATGCTTTTCAGCTTGCTTTTTATCATTATATGTGTATTTTCATTTGATCATTTGAGTTGACAATTCAATTCACATAACAAAATCCACGTTCTTGCCATTAATTTGTATTAAATGAGTCATAAATTAAGGAAATTTGTTTATCCATCTGGAAACATGATTTGCTTAAACTAATTTGGTTAGCTGTACATTCGTGAGTGTAACAATTTTACTTGTGCACCGATTGTGTTAGAAGAATCTCCTGTAAGAAATTAAATAACTAAAGAGGTAAAAAAGATGATCCCAAAGCAATTTCATGTATTGGGCAAAGGCGCTGCTATAGTTTTTGGAGGATTTCTGACTCTCAATCTTGCTGCTACTGTTGCCATTGGTGCATTTCGCTCTGTAGCAGAAAGGAAACGGGTAATGACAATTCGCCAAGCCCCACCCTTTTCTTGTTTTGTTTTTTTTCTGATGTTTGCGAGTGTGAAAATTTGCAATTTCTCTCTCTGGGTTTTGTAGAAAAAATCTGCCTTGCCTGTGGGATTTGTAAAGGGAAAGGATTTTACTTATGCAAGTTGTGCAATGGAAATGCTACAATAAATTGGTCACCTTTGTATGATCCTATTCATATTAACCCTTGTGTTTGCCCTACTTGTGATGGTAACAGGTTAGTCTTCTTTCTTGATTCATTTGCCATTCAATACTTTCTTCTTGGAGAGGCTTTTCACTTGGTTCTAAAGGTTTCTTTGGGATTATGACAGGGTGCAGCGCTGCTTAAACTGTCTTGGCAATGGTTATAGTTGACTACTACTTGATTTGTAAGAGTTTTAACTGTGAATTTTTCATCACTTTATGTTTCTGTATCCCATTTTGTAAGTGAATTTGTGGATATTTTATGTTTCTGTGTCCCATTTTGTTAGTGAATCTGTGACTGTTTTTTCAGTGAACTGCTAAATAATCATCTTCGTGAAGCTGTTTCAATTTGGCACATTTAAATATGGATCATACTTGAGAATTATAAATTTATAATTCAGGATGTTGATGATGTGGCTAGGTTTTTATTTAAGTTGAAACCACTTAAGTTGTTGATGAAGTACTATTGGTGTAATAATCATGGTTAGGGTATTGTTGATGAAACTTCTAAGATGGGGTAGATTGTTGCAAATGTTCAAGCTATATTTTCTTGACATTTAATAAAATTACAAAAACCGCATAATGTTTGCTGTGTTATGGATTTTTTGCATGACTAACAGAGAAAACCTTAGGATTGTTGGCACGAGCATTATTCCAAATTTTTTTGGGTGGAGCACTGTAGAGAGTGGTTATGGATGTGGTCGTGTCGGAGTTCCTTTGCTGGCTTCTCTGTTCCATTTGTTTTTATTTGAACACCTCTAGTCCTTCCAAGAACTCTGCTAATCTTCGAGTCCTAACCTCTTATTGAGTGATTTCACTGGAGTTTCTTGTCCACCTATCCATTTCCCTCATTATATAACCTTGTCATTCACACTATTTTAAATCAGATGCTATGTGAAAATGAAGATATCTAACTATAAATGTGCCCTTGCTTCATGAATAATGAAATTTAGAACACCTTGAATATCCAGTCTCCTTCAGGTTGGTTATATTTATCATGAACTTTATGGTATCTGAAAATAAACGTAGACATTGAAGTCTTCTTTTACTACTTTTCGTGAGTGATTGATATTCAGAATTTGATGAACTGTTTTATGTGATTGTGTCTCCACTCTCCAGTACAATGAATCGTTGCTGTTGTTGTTCACTGAAAATTTCAATTGCAATTACAAGTTCTGCAAGCTTGCTATCTGTCGATCTTAGTTTATCCTTTGCTAGAAGTTTTGCCAAGTTAATGTTTTTCGCATAGGAAGGGAGAGTGATAGGTGCTGAGAAATCCATTTCCCCTAGAAATATCATATAATTGGAATTGGATCTATAGCTCTCGGAGAATATATATGCGGGGAATTCATTCATTTGATGACGAGAAAAATCTATTTTAATTTCTCTGCATGTTCTATAACGTCAGTTTAGTTCGATCTAGCATGTTTGTGTATTTGTAATGTGATGGTGCCTTGATGTAGTGCGCATCCCTATGGAACATACATTTTGTATTATTTCTTGTATAAATTTATATCCGGCGGCTGAAGGAAAGAATGGAATATTCTAGGTGAATTCAGTCCAATATTGCCATAGCATCAGCTGTGAAGTTGCCTTCTCTTAAGCATGTACCACTCGAACACTCCGTGCCCTTGTAAGAATTTAATGTATGCTTTGGAGAATTGCATTATGAACATCATAACTCGAGTTAAGAATAGCATGCAATTCCGTGTTGTTCCTGTCTCGACGATAGTATTCGAGCTTCCATACCAAGTGCCTGCATCAAACCATCGTATAAATAGTTCATAATTTCGCATCGAGTTCCAAACAGATCCAACTGTGCATGCAAACCTGTCAACCAATGACCATGATGGTACCCAATACACCACCTGCAGAGCGAATCATGTGAAAGAAATACCCTTCATCCGTATTGGTCTTGTTATATCAATACATACTTCTGGAATATGTTTGAATCTGACGACCGAAAAACTGAAATTGATTAATTTAAACTAAATGAATTAGATTTGATTTGGTTAATTTGATTCGTCACTTATGTAAAGTCATTTCTAAGAAACAAATGAATAATGAATAAAATAATATTGATCTATCGAAGAAAAGGGATTAAAATGAAATAAATGAAATCTTGAGACAATAAAGTGTTGTTACTTAAAATTGAGATTTTTTATATGTTTTCCAACATTTCAAGGGTGTATTTTTCTGAAGTTTTTGAATTTAATATACATTAAATATCACTTGACACATTTTAAATTGTCATTTATATATATTTAAAAATATATAATAATATAACATATTTAAGAAAAATTAGAAATTGAATTATTTTTTAACATCGAAGTATTACGAGTACAATTTTGTAAGTAAAAAATTATTTATACTGTGATAAACCGAAATTTTTGTAAGCGATGCCGTCAGCAAGTGGAATTAGTTATTCTCATTCTTGTCGAATCACAAACGACACCAAATCGAATAGTTTAAAATTCGAAAAATAAAATTCATCGAACCCAGCGTAACCACGTCAGCTTCCACCTTATGTATAGATACACTCAACTTTTTCTCTAACACAATTTGGAGCTCAAACAAAAAGGGAAGCTCGAAAGAGCTCTAAGAAGTAAGAAAGGCTGCCCTGCGCTCTCTATCTTCATTTCCTTTGTTTCTCTCTCTATCAAATCCCTAATTACCAGATTTCAATTCTGTTAATATTTAAAAGAAGAAAAAAGCATAAAAACCGAATCTAGTTAAAGGATCTTGGGACAATTCTTGTAGTTGTGTTTAATCTTGAATTGATAAGGACGTGTTGATTTCATCTCTTCGGATGAAAAAAAGATAGATTTGTGGGAAGATATACTGGTGGACATTTTCTCCAGTTTGTGTTTATCTTGGCACTATCTTTGTTTATGGGTTTTCTAGTTGGTTGTATGAAGGGAGCTTTGCTCAAAGTGAAGAAATTGATTACAATAGGAGCATGAGACAGTTGTAGGATCATAATGAACAAACAGATGGAAAACCGCATCTAATTTCAAAGGAGTTATAATGCAAAAAACAATTTGCTGGCAGAGAATAATATTCATACAGCTTAATTCTGCATTTTAAAATATGCCATGATGAGATGCATTGCTGATGTGGCTGTAGCTTGGCCTTTTAGCAACGCCACAGCATTGAACATTTGGTAGATTCATTCTGTTGTTTGTGCCACTGGTAGTTGATAGTGATTTCATCTTTGTCATATATTCCAGTTCTAGAAGTGTGGGTTTTGTAAGGATAATAAAAGAAGTGGTTACTGTTAAAAAAATGATTGTGAACTAATTGTTAAACTTCCTGGAATTATAATGCAGTCCCAAAATTGTCTCTGCTACAACCATAACTATCTGCATCATTTC